CGCGCGCTCCTGCACCGCCCGCGCGGCCCGACCCGCGGGCCCCCGCTCTGTCCCTAAGAGTTGGCCTTGGGTGATCCCCGCGGCTCCAGCCTGGACCCCGGCTTTCCCAGCGAGGACTCGGAGGCAGGAACACCGGGGGATGCCGCCGGGCCGGGGGAGCGACTGAAAGCCGGGGAGGCGCCTTCCCTCAGGGCTGTCACCCCCCGGGGCTCCGGAGCCCGGCTGGAGAGGCGGCCGCCGGGAGTTGCGCGGGGCGCCGGGACCTTTGTTTTCTGTACCGTCTATCTGGCCGACGACGAGGCGATTTATGCCACAGCCTCCCGCGCGGGCTCCGCCGAGGCTATGCGAGAGCGCGGCCGGGACGGCCCGGGGGGCTCGCGCTGCGCCTAGGACTCTTCGGCCGCCCCGGGATGCTGCACAGGGCCAAGTACAGCCGCTTTCGGAACGAGTCCATCACGTCCTTGGACGAAGGCAGTCCCGGCGGCGCCGCGGGCAGCAAGGGCTCGCCGCAGCCTCCCTGCCCGGCCCTGGCCCCGCACCTGCCGGCGGAGGATGCGGCCGCGCCGGCCCAGGAGGGCCCCACCCCGCTGTGCGCCTTGATCCCGCGCATGGCCAGCGTGAAGCTCGCCAACCCAGCCGCCCTGCTGAGTCTGAAAAACTTTTGCTTGGGTACCAAAGAGGTACCCCGGCTGAAGCTTCAGGAAAGCCAGGACCCGGCTCCCAGCAGCCCGGCTTCCCCCGAAAACAGCCTGCATAGACCCGGGTCTGCACCCCAGCCCCGGCGGGACGCGGCGGGGCCCCGGGCGACCGGCTCGGCTCCCGAGGCCTGTCCCCTCCCCGGCCCTGGGGGGCCCACCCCGAGGCGCGGGCAGGACAGGCACTTTCTGCAGCACCTGCTGGGGACGGGCATGAACTACTATGTGAAGGTGAGTCCGTTTCCATTTCCCTCTCTCCACCCGAGAACTCCTGGGGAAAGGGGCATCTTCCCTGCGTTCTGCAAGGGGCCGCGCATCGCAGGGCTGCGGTCTGTCTAGGTTTGGGGGAGACCTTGTGCAGCTGGACCAAGGGGAGGAGGGGAGCTGGGCTTACAGGTTCTGCAACTATCTGGCTTGTACCAGAGTGGGACAACTTTGGTTCAAGGGCATGAACTGGTGCTAACTTGTGGGTAGTTGCCAGGTGTGGGGGCATCTTCTGATGGGACGGCCAAGGAAATGCCTTCTTGTCCCCACTGGACCTTGCTTGCATCCTGGCCAGGAACAGGCAAGAATTTCAAATCTGATTAGTGATTGAGACTTGGTAGGTTATAGCGGCCACTGTATTTCAGTAGAGATCTCTGTGCTAGAGGAATACGTACTGTGTAAGGAACTTGAATTATTTTTTAAAATTTAATTTAGCGTTTAACAAGCACTTCTCAAAACACGGCCAAGTCTCTAGCCTTGGCGTGAGGAGCTGGTCTCAGGTCTTTGGTGCCCTTTTTTTTTTTTGGCCTTTATTGCCTGCACTGTGGCAAGTGGGCCTTGTCCATGAGCGGTGTGCAAAGTCAGGGTGCCTGGGGGCCTTGCATCTCTGCTCTTGCCCAGTCCAGATCTGGGTAAAGGAAGAAAAGAAGATTTGGTGCTTGCCTTTCTGGAGCTCACATTTCAACTGAATAGTCCAACGAAGGCATGTGAAATAGTAAGAGAAATATACTTAGCAATAGATATCTAGTGTGAAAATACTTAGTGAATGCAGAAAAAAGAGAAAGGTTGTGATCTGGGAGTCATTCACATGGGAAACCTTCAGGAGAAGGTGCATCTTGGAAGAGAGAACAGATCTGGATTGGCAGAAAGGAAGAAGTTCCTGGCAGGGCAAGAACATATGAGCACAGCCCCAAAGGCAGGTGTCACTGTGGTGGCTGCAGGGAAGCATCCCCGAAGCTGGGCTTAGCTGAAGAGAAGGGGGGATGCTGGAGGGTAGTGGGTGTTAGAGAGAGTGGCTGGTACATAGCTGGTGCTCAAACAAATATGAGTGGAATAAAGGTAAATATAGGCCATGGGCAGCTTGGGGAGGAGGGAGCAGTTGACCGAAGCTCTTAGATGCGGAATAAAGAGTTTTTAAACACTGATTGGCAAATAGGATCCCTCCCAGGTTTGCAGGCAAACTGTGACTTCATGAAAGTGGTTTCAAAAGGATGAACCTGTGTATTTATGTGAGATGGAGTGGAGCAGGGAAAAATTCGAGGTTGGAAGACCAGTAAGAAAGATGCTCTGGAAGTTTAGGCGAATCAGATGAAAACACGGATGAAGGTGGAGATGAGAGAAAGGAGGTAAATGGGAGAGACTCTGTGAGAAGCCACAGCAGTTTTTGGGTGGTGGATCAGATGACTTCAGGTCATAATACAAATTACCGGCTAGTCAACATTTATTGAGCAGTGGGCAGACTGGAGAGTTTGTTATTGTTGTTTATGGAAATTGTGGATGACTATTGATGAAGGGGGTTGTGAGGAGTGAAAAAATACCTACAAACGTAAGCCTCAGAATGAGATTAGTAGTGTCAGTGATAGAGACCGAGTGAACTGGGGGGACTTAGGCTAAGCTTGCCCTTGACATGCTACATTTAAAGTAATGATATCTAAGTGGTACTTATTTGCAGGGAGGCAGTCACATAAGACAAGCATTCAGGTGAGAAATCTCATCTGAAGGTGTAAATTTGAGAGCTAGCTCAATACCTGCATTCCAGACAATTAAGCTTGCTAGGAAGACCAGTAATGAACATTGGAAGGGTTCCAAAGAGAGCAGGCTTGGGGCAGCCTTGGCAAATGGATAGCGAAAACCTCTAAGTAAGATAAATTTATGGGACACTCAGCTCCTGCCCTCCCCCACAGTGACATGGCTCAGGATGGAAATAGTTTCATGTATCTACTAAAAGTTCATGGGCACGTTCTCCTTTGTCTGCTAGGTCCTAACAGGAAAATGAACGACTCGCCAAACCTATGGTCTTGGCAGCTGCCTTCCCATCACCTTGACACCCTCTACCTTCTGCTGTGCCTTCCTTCCCTCTAGTGCCTCCTCCCACCACCCCCACACCCATGCACCTGTACTATTTTAAATGTGAAAGAGTTACCGTGTGATCTTTGTCCCTGGGGAATGCCTCCACTGGCATTTTGCATTTTTAATGAGAACACCATCTGTCTTTTCCTGGTGGTGACAACTGACCCCAGGAAAAGTGCTGACCTGTGACCCAAGTGAACCACACTATTTTGCCATTAGATAGGGACACAAGATACCAGTTAACACCTCTCTCAGGAAGTCAAAATACACAAAAGAGCCTACTTTAATAATTTTCATAGAATCCTAACTTTGAAAGGTGGAAGGGACTCAGAAGTTATCAAGTTCAATGCCTCTACAGGGAAGCTGAAGCTGAGATAAGTGATTTTTTTAGGGCCACGCAGAGGTCAAAAGGACAGTTAGATCTAGAACCCAAGTCCTTTATGTCCCATTTTTTGCTTTTTTCACCACAGGTTTTCATGCTGGCTGAGATCCTCTTCCTCAGAATTCTTTGGGATGTGAACCAGTTTTAGAAAATGAAATGCCAACCTGTTAACTTACAGTGAAAAATATCAAAACAAAATTGTGACCCCTGTATGGGAACATGTGCATAGGAAGATTTAAATCAAAGGCTCCTTGGTGATGGTAGAATCGGGGCAGAAAAGGGACAGAGATGTGCTCAGTGGCAAGAGGCATAGGGGCAAATTTTGTGGGAAAAAGGCAGCCACGGATTCCACTTTCATATCCACATCATATGACTGCCTCCCTCCCTGCCATACTTACTTATTTATTCATTCACTCATTTATTGGACAGATATGTACTGAGAACCAATTTATGTGACAGGACTGTTCCAGGCCCTGGGGATACATAGTGAATCAGAGACCAGGCCTGAGCCTTGGCGGAACTTACATTCTAGGTGACGGAGACTGATGGGGGGGTTGAGTAAACGAGTCCATACCACAGGTCACCTGCAGTGAGTGCTAGGAGAGCAATGCGGCAGGGAAGTGACACAGCAGAGGCTTGGGTGCAGGTGGCGGGTATGACAGCTTGGGGGGGTAAAAATGGCATAGTTCATTTTGTTTTCTTCAATATTTTATTCTCACGGTAGGAACTGCATTTGCCATCTACTCTGAGTTAGGGTTGACTTTGGGTTAAATATCCTTCTTTAAAATGACTCGTCTTTTGATCTTATGATGTAGACTCAGTTATGCAGCTGAGAATACTTTAGGAACCCTGAGCCCCTATTTTTGAGTCGCTTTCACTTAAGCTCAGGCCTTGACCCCCCCTGAAGGCCTCCCGAGGAAAGTGGGCTAGCAAATCATTCTTTGAGAGGTACTGGGCCAGAAATGGACAGCCAGGTCTGAGCAAAGTAGTGAGGTGAGTGAAGCCTGTTTAACGATGCCAAATGGTTTATTTTCCCCGTAAGATCAAGCCTCATTTCTTTATGAGGTCTTCACTTCATCCATCAACACACATTCACTCAGAGGTCTCCCAGGTGCCCCACATGTCTGTGGTGAGTGTGGAAAATATACAGTGTGACCAGGGCACTCATCTCTAAAATGAGAGACTCGGTCTGCATGGCCTTCGAGGTGCCCCCTACCACCAGAATCTAATGACTCTAGGCTCCTTTCTCCAGCGGGAAATGTTTAAACTTTCCCATCCCAACCCCCACATTGCCTGTAATTTAGTTCAAAGACTAAAGCAGAGACAGAGAAATGAACCCTGCTAGAGGTTCATAGCTCTCACACTAACCCTCGGATGGAGGCTGCATTCTCCAAGTGAGGACACTGAGACCCCATAAGGAAGTTATCTAGCCTACACTTTACAACCTAAGTAGCAGATAGGATTCAAATCCAGGTTTGGCTCCCTCCACCGCTCATCTTCTTCCAGGCAATCCTGGAATTTTGTGAATGGAGTCATGTAAGTGAAGGACCACACTGTGCAGGAGAGTTTTGTTACAGGACCAGCCCATGGAACTTGCTGTGTTGCATTCATTTGCATCATTTCAGTCTCCTCACTTCATCCCAACCCAGCCCAAGCAATTCCTCAGACTGTGTTACTGTCCTAGGGCTGCTGTAACAAATATCACAAGCTGGGTAGCTCACAACAACAAATATTTATTCTCTTGCAATCCTAGGGACTAGAACTCTGAGGTCAAGCTATCAGCAGGGCCATGGTCCCTCTGAAGGCTCTAGGGAAGGATCTCTTTTTGCCTCTTCTAGCTTCTGGTGGGTGCCCACAGTCCTTGGCATTCCTTGACTAGATACATGACTCTCATCTCTGCTTCCATCTTCACACGGCTTTCTCTCCTGTGCGCCCATGTTCAAATTCCCCTCTTCTTCCCAGGACACCAGTCACTGGGTTAGGGCCCATATTCATTCAGTATGCCTGCATCTTGATTATGTCTGCAAATACCCTACCTCCAATTAAGGTCACAGTCAGAGGTTCTGGGGGTTAAGGCTTCAACCTACCTTTCTGGGCAATGTAAGTCAAGCCATAATAGTCCCTCAGAACATTTATTGCAATGTGTTTGCCCATGTAGATGTTCTTGGGTAATCAGCTTTGTATGCAAATATGAATTTGTGTTGAGGTATTTTCTTTATTTTCTTTGTAAATCTCACAGTATTCTCTTACTGTCTATCTGCCTGTGTTTAATGATTTGCCTTAATACTGACCCAACAGATTAATATTGTCTGTTGTCTAGATTAGATGTGGCCTGCAGAGCTACATTTTCTGCCTGCCCCAAGTATCTTTCCCACAAGAGAGCACAGGCCTAGGAGTGACGAGATCTGGGTCAGAGTAATGGCTCTCACATTAAATAGCTGTGTGACCTTGGGTGAGTCACCTTGCCTCTGATTTTCTCAGACTTAAAACAAGAAGTTTGAACAAAATGCTGTCT